ACCCCACCCCCGTCCCCGCCAGTGAAGGGGCTTCCTAGTGTATGGAAACTTTTCCTCCTTCACAGCTCCCTCCCAGAGGTGCAGATCCCATCCCTATTCTTTTGTCTCTGTTTTTTCTTTTTTCTTTTGCCCTACCCAGGTACGTGGGGAGTTTCTTGCCTTTTGGGAAGTCTGAGGTCTTCTGCCAGCATTCCATAGGTGTTCTGTGGGAGTTGTTCCACATGTAGATGTATTTCTAATGTATTTGTGGGGAGGAAGGTGATCTCCATATCTTACTCCTCCACCATCTTGAAGGTCTCTCCTAGGTGACGTTTTTGTTTATCACATAATAGAGCTGAGTGATCCAGTCCCTGAGTGAGACTATCAGTTTTAACTCATGTCAGCCCCATAATCTCTCTAGGGATACAGTAACTAATTGGGAACCCTTGGCTTCCAGAAGCAGCTTTGGTTCTGCAGACTTTACTGAATTTATTCCATTCTTAGAATCAGAGACATTCAAAATGGAGATCATTGTCAACATAATGGCTGTGTGTATAAAATTCTACAGCTTTTCAATGGCTTTTATAGTCAATACTTCATTTTACATTTACAGTTATCTTTTATTTTACTCATTGAATTATTCAGTAAATATTGACATCTACTGTGCCACACTTTATGGGAATGGAATCTTGAACAAGACCCAGTATGGGTCTCATGGATCTCAAATCTAATAGAATTCTCAAGGAGGTTTAGTGACTTTCCCTAATATTGGTAAGATGGACTCCAAATCCCATCTTTGTCAAATGTTTGGATGCTCTCTGCTTTCATGCTTTTAGAGGTGTGGGAGTCATGCCTGATTTTAGGAAGTACTACTTTGTGTTGTGATGAAATAATTTTATATCTTCAACCTAGTGATTGTAGTTCTGTCTTTTGGGGCTTCACAGAGCAGTGTGCTTTGTTTTCCCCAGGCAAATCCTTAAGAGATGTCAAGTTAGTGATCCTGTCCCACAGATTCTGCTTTTCCTTAGAAAAAAGAACCCTGGACTCTTCCAGAACTGAGGGAAATGCAGAGTCACTCTGGTATATGCTTATCCTTTGAAAGCCACTGCTATGGTCCAGGGTACTCTAATTCCTTCTCACCCTTTATCTTTACTCCTACAGTTACCTCGTGGGAGATGAACTATGGGTTGTCATGGAATATTTGGCTGGAGGTTCTTTGACAGACGTGGTAACAGAAACCTGCATGGATGAAGGCCAGATTGCAGCTGTGTGCCGTGAGGTAAGGCAAGTGGCCAACCAGACTTGAGCAGGACATGGTCTCCATATCCATATATCTCAAAGTTCTGCATCTGAAGGAATCTCAGCCTGGGCAGTGTAGAGGTGGGAGAAATTAGTTTTACTCTCTCCCATCATCCTCTTTTTATACCTGTTTTTAAAGATTTCTATATTCTGAAAGTTAGAAAGTTCCAAAATATATATATATACACACACACATATGTATATATATGCACAATCACGCATAATTTCAACCTCTTAAAAATAACTGCTATGAACACTTATTTTCCTTTACCTCTTTTATATGGGTATATATTTTAATCATATTTTTATTCTGCTTTCCTGCTTTATTCATGTGCTATGAAGGAAATAAAGTAGAGTAAAAGGATAGTGACAGAGGAGGTACTATTTCAGACAGAGTAGTCAGGGAAGGTTTTGCTGTAGATTTGAGTAAAGATCTGAATGGTATAAAAGAGTAAGCCAAGCAAAAATCTAAGGTAAAATACTTCCAGGCAAAAGAAATAGGAAACAAAGCTTAAATAGGTATTCTCCTCTCTCCTCATTGCTATTATGTGTCTCAAGTCTGTAAAATGCTTGTATAAGAAGGGAAAATAAATACCTCTGCAAGGCCTCCATGAAAAGCAGTGTCCTCAGGGGACAGCCACATTTTCGTTAGAGCAAGAAGATGAGGGGAGTATTAGAAGAAGTTGAGCATATTGGGTGCTTTGCTGATAAGAGACTGGAACTTTCTGATAGCCTAATAATAGAAAAGTTTGGGAATGAGGGAGAGTAGAAGATTTAAGTGATTAGAAGATTAGGTTCAGAGTTTTATGGGGATCAGTATGCTTGGGTTTTGATGAGGCAAGATTTGGAGGCATAGTGATGTACTTCTATATTAGGAAAGATAAAGTCATGTGGAATCAATACTGTCCTAGAAAATATGATCACATTTTCATTAAAAACCGTGGGATCTAGAACACATACACACATAGGTTAATGGAATTAACACAGGCCTGGGATTCTTAGGAGATCTGATTTCTTTTCTTTGCTGTACCACTAAGGCAGTGTTTCTCAACTTTTGTTTCATTATCTTCCCTCCCCCACCCAGGAGCCTTTTAAGACATTTTTGCCTAATCACATTCCCTTCATGAAATTTGATACCATAGATAAACTGTATATCTGTTTATATACTGGGGACCTTTGGAAAACCACAACCACTGTAATATCTAAGATATTTTCCAGTCACCCCAGGGACTGACTTTCACTGGTTGAGATACATACAAATGTATGCTTGGGGAAATCAATAAGCCTCAAGTGATTTATCTTAGAAATTGCAACATTCACACTGTATATGCCTTAGGGGTACCATATGGATCAAAAAGCATTTGGAGAAACATTTAAATGTTACCTAAATAGGTGGCATTACTATTATCCTTAAGTTCACATAGAGATAGTTCCCCTTTCTAAAAATATCTTTATTGAGATATAATTCACATACCATATTATTCACCCATTTAAAATGTATAACTTAATGGGTTTTAGTATATTGAGTTCTACGGCCATCACCATAATCAATTTTAGAACATTTTCAACACCCTAAAAAGAAACTCCATATCTATTAGCAGTCACCCCCCACCCTCTTTCCCGGCCCTCCCAGCCCTATGCAACCACTAATCTATTTTCTGTCTCTATATATTTGCTTGTCCCAGGCATTTCATGTAAATGGAATCATATAATATGTGCATCTGACTGGCTTCTTTTGCTTAGCATAATGTTTTGAAAGTTCATCGTGTTATAGCATGTCTTTTTACTAGCAAATAAGATTCTATTTACTTCTTTCCATCAACTGATGGACATTTGGGTAATTTCCACTTCTTGGCTGTTATGGATGATGCTGTGAACATTCACGTACAAGTTATTGGTTGGATGTATGTTTTCATTTCTCTTGGGTATATGCCTAGGAGTGGAAATTCTGGTCATACAGCAACTCTATGTTTTAATATTTTAAGGACTGGCCAAAATGTTTTCCACAGTGGCTGTACCATTTTATATTCCCACCAGCAATGCATGAGGGTTCCAATTTCTTGAAATCATCCTTTTTGTTTATATATTTTTTAAATTAATTAATTAAGTTTTGGCTGTCTTGGGTCTTCATTGCTGCGCGTGAGCTTTCTCTAGTTGTGGCAAGCGGGGGCTACTCTTCGTTGTGGTGCACAGGCTTCTCATTGCGGTGGCTTCTTTTGTTGTGGAGCACAGGCTGTAGGTGAGTGGGCTTCAGTAGTTGTGGCTCCCGGGCTCTAGAGCGCAGGCTCAGTAGTTGTGGTGCACAGTCTTGGTTGCTCCATGGCATCTGGAATCTTCCTGGAGGAGGGACTGAACCCATGTCCCCTGCATTGGCAGGCGGATTCTTTTTTTTTTTTTTT